AGGGCTTCTCATGTTAAGCACTATAGGCATATCTTAGAGTTTTTTTCAGAGCTTAGATTTTCGATTTAAAAAAAATGTAGCAAAAGGCAGAGGAAATGCCTGTTGAAGTAGGATAGTCGAAATTTACATTAGTATATGTAAATTTATTTGTGCCTCGAAGAAAACATTACTAATAGATAGAAGTATACGACTTTCTGCTGCTCTTGACGATATGAATATTACTGTTACTAAAAACATTTAAATTATTAAATTAAACATTTAAATTAAGGCCCAGCAGAAGTCAACTAGTAAACTGAGACTTCAATAGCCATAATGACATTTCTTAATATCAGAAATGCCCTAATGAAAATACCCACCAGCTTATTGCGCTCTTTTTTAAGATCAGGAAAGAAGTCATCTAAATAGAAGGGTAAAATGTGAAATTTTAAAGACATATACTGCATCTCGTGGCTTAATTTAAGTATCTTGTCAATTACTTTTTATGGTTATCGATGGTTCCCTACAACATTTATGGTTTGGTTCAGTTAATTTTGACAAAGCACATTAGGACTATTTGCCTAAGGGGAGGGAGGCTTTCTTGGAGGAAGAGAAACTGGCTTGTATACACGTTACACACGGGGAAAACCACGGAAATGTCCGTGAAGCTAGCCTGTTCCCCTGGAATTGAACCTAGGTCAGAATTACCAGATTTACCCCTCGGCCGCTGGTGAGCCAAAAGTTTTAAGGTAAAACATTATTGAAAAATGGCGATGCAATTTTTTACTGCTTTCAACCACTGATAAAAGGTTCGATTCAGAAATAATTCCCAAATTTACAGCCCATCGAAAATACCTTGCTTTTCATTTTGCTATCATTTATGTTAGTTTTTAGTTATGCAGATCCCAGCCCATAAGTGTCTATTGTTTTAAAAAAGTAAGATAGTATGTCACTTAAGTAGTTATTTTGAGTTGAACTTTTACTTTAACTTCTTCCTTTCCTTGTAGCCCACCAGCGGACGAGCGGTAAAGTCGCTGAACACTGGTAGCTCGGTCCGAGGTTCGAATCCCGAGAACAGGCTGGCTGCATGGGTGTTTTCGTGGTTTTCCCCATGTGTAACATGTATACGAGTCAGTTTGCCTTAGAAAGTCCGCCACGAAGGCATCCCTCCCCTTAGCAGATAGCCCTAGTGTGCTTTGCCATAATTACATACAAAATACCTTCCTTCCTTTGTACTCGTCAGGATGCAAGTTAGTTGTTGCGCACTTAAGCAGAGAGTTTTAGGGTTAGAGCTCCTGGTAGTCTCGCCTTGCTGTTACTTACTCTCGCCAGCTCTGCCAAGTTTTTCTGGCTTTAACATCTTGCTAGAACCAACTTAGGTAGTCAGTCTCTTGTATAGTATGTAGTCTCAGACTGCATTACCTAAGTTTTAATTTGACTTTATTTTATGTCAATTCAAATACCGGCAAGTACGGAAGGTTCGTCTGTCGCCCAAGTATTGCCTTCTGTTCATTTATGAGTTAAATAAAAAACAGGTTATTTTAACCTTCCTATCTTGCTCATTTGTTTCAGGCTAAAGCAAAAGCTCTTTTCCAGTCTAGTAGGTTCTGCAGGACATTAACACAAACCTCTGGATATAGCAGAACCCTACTACGTTTTTTATGAAATTTAGTTTGAAATATACCTTTTTCTATATATATTAAAGTTTTTATAAATTCTAATTTAACGTGTATAAAAAGGAGATATGCTTCAAAGTTTAAAGAAAGAAGGTATATTTTTCAAGATCTGCAGTTGCTGTGGTAATGACTACTTCAAATAAAGCAGAGAGAATAAACAAACCAATCTTACTTTTATCTAAAAAAACAAACAGTAGTTTAAAATCCTTTCTAATCATTATACCTGGTCTTTAGAATAAGCAATAGTACACTAAATTCAATGGTATATTAATACAGGAAATCTAACACAACTGAGGTCTCATTGTACAATAAAATGTACTAAATTCTCTTTACTAGCACTTCGTTTTGTTGTTGAATTTAACTGAAAACCTAAGGAGGCATATAAAAACCAATAATAATGTAAAAAACACTCACATATTTGTGAGTGTTTCTTATATAAATATGTTTTCAGAATAAAATAAAATCTGTTCTAAAATAAAATCTTTTTTCAAAATTTAAACTTCAATGCGCTTGCATATATAAATTTTTTATGTATCTTTACGCTCTTGCGAAACATTTATGATTTATCAAATATTGTCACGTAAAACCTATAAGCAACAACAAACATCTGAGGTCATATCTGAGATCAGCATATGCTTAAAAACGCCTTATTTATTCTGTGATATAACTTTTGTCGGTCAGTATGTTTTATCTGATAAGCAATGGTTAGCATTTTCTTTCCATGAACTACCTTTTTGCTTTCTGAAGTGATTAAAAGTTTATGAGCAGTTTTTTACAGCAGTGACTTTACTTTGCTACCAAAGTTACTTTGTAGGATTGTTGATATAACATGTGAATGTAAGTGGTGGTTCTGAACTTTTCCATTATGTATCAGAATGTAATATCCTATAACTTCGATTCAAACGATGTATTATATATAAAACTCAAAATACCTTATTGTAGACCTCTAAAAAAAGATTATAAATTTAATAAAAGTTATATACTAATAAAATATGTTATTTATTAATATAAAATATAGAACCACTAGTGCCCGAGAAGATAATATTGGTGAACAGTGCTAGTTCCATCTGGGCTCGAATCGTGACGAATGAACTGGCTGCATGGATATTTTCGGCATTTTCTCGATGTGTAAAGCAAAAAAATACGAACAGTTCTTCTTAGAAGTTACTTTATTAAAGCATTCCTCACCGTAGGCAGATAGGCCTCGAGTGCTTTGTCTTATTCAACCAACCTTATTTGTATCTAATATGTACATATATAAATAAAACTGAAATTTTAATTAAGTGAAGGAGAAGAAAACGATACATGCTAAAAGCCTCAGTACATAAATAAACTTTAGTGTACGTCAAAATGAAGTAAAGAATGTACCTTAGACTTACCATTTATATAAGTTTCAAGCTATAAATTCAGAAACTTGCCTGATAATCGTTAACTGTATGTCATGCGTTGCCCTTATCCCTATGAGAAGGCTCATGACAGACAAATTCTTCTATGAACGGATTTCTTTTTTCACATAATTTTATCATTTTTTTTTCACTTTTTGCGTTTTTCGTTTCACCAGACCTTCTCCTTTGTTCTCATATTCTGATGGCTATTTTATTGTAAATCTATGTATGCATGCTTCGAGCGATACAAAAATCTCTTGCAATTTGAACTGTTTGTTTTATTTCCCTTCTTTTATATAATTTCGATCTACATTAAAGTTTATATAATGAATCAATTCGTAATAGCTACGTAAAAGTTTAATACTGTTAAAGGGAAAAAATCAAAAGAAAAGTATAAAAAAAATCAACCGAAAGAAATCAAAGGCAAAAATGAAGTATTACATTTCTAGCAACACCACTTCAAGTGCCACGAGAAATTTTAACAAAGCATTAATTTTTCAGTTATATAACACCTCAAGTGTCAGAATCACAGATTAATTATTAATAAAAGAATGGTTGAGTTCGATTAATTAATTTGAACAGAAACGTATTTTGGAGCACCAGTTGCTAGCTGAAGTAATTTCAGATTTAACCGCCTCCTGATGAAGGTTCAGTCTGATAATAATAAATCAGAATTTTTAATTTATTTACTTATAAAGACATTAGGTATTTTGGAAGCAGTAAAGATGAAAAATATGCAATGCTTTCGCCGGGAATCGAACCACGGACCTCTGGAATACGCGTCCAGCGTGCAGACCGTCGCACCAGGAAGGCATGCCAAGAAGGCGAGAGAAATACCTTATATACTTTTTAGCAAAATTTAATAATTTTCTGATTTTTTTCTAAAAACTGTCGCTTTTAATCAAAGGCTTATGACAAATCATCATCAAAGGTTTTATTTAAAATTTTTAATCAATTTTTGCTGCAATATTAAATGCAAACTTCTAAAATTATATATATACACTTAAATAATTTAAACAAAGTGCAAATAAAGTTAAAAAGTAAAACTTAAATTATGCACTGCATTAATTCAATGCAGTTTACAATTATAATATTTAATAAATTTGAAACGTAATTAAAGTAAATTCGAATAACATGGCCCAATGCTAATGCAAAAAAAATAATAATAATTAGTAAATCAGAGCTATTCTAAAATTTCCAAACAAACTAACGTTGTGCAAATAACGAATTGGTACAAAATTACCATATACACTAGTGTGTATTTAATTATGGCAAAGCACACTAGGGCTATCTGCCTAAGGGGAGGGATGCCTTTCGTGGAGGACTTTCTAAGGGAAACTGGCTCGTTACACATGGGGAAAACCACGAAAACGCCCATGCAGCCAGCCCGTTCGCGGGATTCGAACCTCGGACCGAACTACCAGTGTTCAGCGACTTTACCGCTCGGCCGCTGGTGGGCACCATATACACTAGATAAGCGCGAAAATGATAAATAAAAAAATATAAAGACCAGCACCCTGAGCAAGATGTTCTGCTAGATGTATTCCATTTACCTTTATTATTTTAACAAGGAAACTTGTTATGTCGGTATTTAAAAGAAGGAAAATAATGATCGCAAATGTGTAAAACATAGTGGTATGTTAAAACCCTTTAATTCACTTTGGTTCTGGAAATTTGCTCCAAATCATAACCGCAACAAGCATTTTTAGAAATAAATTACAAATTATTATTGACAACAAATAACGGTCATGTATTTCTATAATGTTTAATCAGATGTCATTTGTTAATTAACTTCTTAATTTATTTGTTAGCTAATTTTAAATAACTGATAATTTTTAATTTTCATCAATTATTTATATTATTTCTAAATGCGCAATTACTCTATTTGTCCTTATAAATAAAATCTTTGAAGTTTTAGTTAGCCATCGTATCTGCCGGTTTTCTTAAACCAGTATCTTTTCAGAACGCAGCATAATCCTGGAAACATTAAAGTAACTCTGGGTGACTATATCCTGAATTCAGATTTGGAAGGTTTGCCTAGCGAAACTTTCGGTGTCGATGAAGTGAAAGTTCATCCTAAATTCCGTTTCACTCCTCAAGCTGATCGTTTCGATGTTGCTGTGTTGCTACTGGATAGACCGGTCGGATATCGATTCAACATGAAACCTATTTGTTTACCTGAGAAAGGAACAGATTTTCTAGGCTCTGTCGGTTACGCCGCTGGTTGGGGAGCCTTAGAACCAGGTAAAAGAAATAATAATATTTATACTTTTATGAAAACATCCTAAATGTCAAATAATTTTAAGTCTTATGTAAATTTTTGTTAATTAATAATTAACTTTTAAATAAATAAGTACATTTTGAAATAGATTTAAGTACATTTTTAATAACTTTTAGATAATTTTAAGTAAATTTTAAGCAATATTAGTACGTGTTTGAGTAATTTTAAGCTTATCACTGTAAAAACTCTTATAATGGAAATTTCTTAAAACACTATATTTTAGTAATATTGGTCAAGGAAACAGTAACTTTAAACCACATAAAAAACATAAAATTTAAAGTATTCAAGAATTTATGAACTTGGATTTAATAGGGAAATGTCAGGCATTTTTCTTAGAAAATTATCATCTAAAACCACACTCAAGAATTCAGTTATATAATTTCAGCATTTATTTTTGAAGTTCTGAGATGTACCGGAGAGTTTGGAGTTTTGAAAAGTACTGCAGATCATTTGTAATATCTGTGGTTCATTAATTTTAAGCGTATTTTATTATTTTTAGTTATTGCCAATTGTTCTTTAGCAATTACTTAGCAGTTAATCATTTAAATTAATTATAACTACCTTATTTTAGCAAGAAAACCATTTTTTAATTTTAAGAGAGTAATTAATAAGTCGTTTTCAAATACTCCTGTGTTCAAAGGTTTTGTGGAAAATGCTTGTAGGGCAAGTACTATTTGTTATACGTAAATCATTCTTTTCTAGGAACTTACGGAGTATCATTCATCAGAACATACACACCTTCTCTAGTGCTCCTGACATTTTCTTACATGTTACTAAAAGGTCTTTTTTTATACTTGGCATGGAGTGGCATCGTGCCGCTTCGAACACCATGAATTTTCTGAAAATGTTGATTTCATATCATCATGACAAAAGAGAACAGTTGAATCAAAAAATGATAAATCTGGCAAATAATATGTTTGGGGCATAAGAGAGATCTGCTTCTGCGCAGAGACCCAAGCTACTTCTGTACAAACAAAATTGCAGCATCCTGCTGAATGTTCTAAAGGGACTCCACATTCATTATACATGAAAATTTCTGCTAGCTTTTAATGCATCTGATTTCAGTTTGGATGTATATTGGAAGAAAAGGAATCAAGATACAAAATGAAAGAGTCATTTTTTAATTAAAATCAAGAAAATATCACTTATTCATGACATTTTGAGAAACTTTGAAATTTCAAGGCTAAACCTGTAACGCTCAGAGGGTTAAAGAAATTAAATAATGAAGAATCTGCATAAATGTATGTATGTTTCTCTCATTGCGATAAAACAACGGTACCTAGAGCCATCAAATGTTGAATAACGTACGTCTCCACCCGAATATGGTCATCTGGAAGCCCAAATTTGAAATTTGTTTTATTATTTATTTCATATTTTATAAAGCATTTATGAGTTTTTGATTAAGAAATTCATCGATTCCAAAGCGAGCAGTGGCAACACTGTACTGTGGGGGGGGGACATTTTTATCTCCAGCGCAGAGACTGTGTATCGGAAATGCTAAAGGTATGCTCTTTTTAAATTATTTTGTGATATAGTTGTTGAATTGAATTTTATGTTTTAAGTGCTAAAAACAGGATATTTAATAAATAAAGGGTAACGCACAAAACATTAATAAAAGCTTCTTTGGGCGTAATTTTCAGATTTCTTTAATATTTTTATTTAATAAATGGCAGTGCCACTGAAAATTATAGAACTCTTTCTAAAATAGAGTTGAAATGCGTGACTTTCTAAGGCCTAAGTAATTTTTGGTTTTTCAGAATAGAAAAACCTCATCATGAAGAAATATTATCATTTTTATCTTTATACACGTTTTAGACTTGTTTGTAAATTTTTAAAATGAAGTAAAACTGTGAACTGGGCATTTTTTTCGTCCGTGTGCACAATGCAACCGGCGCCCCACTAGGGTAGTTCTGCACTTATCAGTTAAAATTGGAACAGTGTGCAAAACGTGCAATGTTGAGCTTTGCATGCAAAAAAAAAAGGAGTAACATGCTTCAAAATTTTATACAAAATAACGGCTATGCCCTTCAAAATTTTTAATATTTTTTCCAGCTTTCTAATTGTAACTGTAACTATATAAATATAAAATATTAGAAATTTAGAAAAATTTTAAAAGCTTAAATATTTGGTATTCTTCTGCTATATGGACCGGATTCAAAAATTTATGTACGGATGCATGCATGTATAGATGTATGTGTTCAAGTATGCGTGTATATATGTACGTAATACGTTATGCGTGTATATACGCACACATATATATGCACATGCACACGTACATACATTCCTGAGTCCTGTCCGGTTAACAGAAACATACCAATTATTTTCTAAGCTGCAAAATTTACCTTTTAACTTAATGTAAGCTTTTAATTTATTGTAATTCTAAATGATTTTTATACTTTTATTTATGTATTCATAATCTTGCATTGTATTGTATATCTTATTTTGTATTTATATATATACCAATTATTTCTATCATATTATAGTAAAATGTTTACTTATAGCAAAATTACATGCGAATAAATCAGTAAATATGTAAATTTCAAAATAACACGCAAGCCTGTAAGAGCGCTTTTCCTATACACAACGTTGCGTGCTTTGTGGGCTCTAGCGGGCCGCATTTCTTTCTTCAGACCATACGGTTTCAACCGGAAAAAAAAATATGCTTTCAATATTTCAAATGGCTAATATTGATAACTCGCAGTCATATCTTTGAGGTAACATTGTGGAGTGAGAATTAGATTTTTAATTGTTAGTAATTAGAAATAGCCCCTACAACTAACTGTTTAAAGTGAGTATTTTGAACAGAGAAATATGAAAGTCAAAATTTTCTCCGTTTTGCCGAAGAAGCTCCATGAACCTGGTCGCCAACGAATCGAAAGTAAAGTTTATTTATAAAATAATGTTTTTGCTAGCTATGTACTTAAAGTGTTTTTAAAGAATTGCCATCCAGTGCATTATTTGAAAGATATGTTTTCAACTCTAACTACATTTATAACTGTGCGCAACTTATCAGAAACATAGTACAATGGAGCTTTGGATTACGAAAGTCTTGAATCAAACACATTTTTCAAATGGAAAATGTTTTCGATGACGAACGATGTCGCTAGATACGAACAAGTAAGCTGGCAATAAATGATGCCTCCTAAGTGCAACTCATTAAGTGAAGAGAAATATCTTCTGAAAACGACGGAACTGAGAATATTCCTAATTAGTTGTTCAGTGAAATTTGTGCAAAATGGGATAAAGTGCAAAGGCTAATAGAATATTATCATCCTGATAAAGCAGCACCAAGCTGTAGCATAAATTTGTGCAATGACTATGTCGCGTCTTCCTTTAGGAACATTTCAAAACGTAGACAGAAACAAATCACATTAAAAAAAAATTAATGGGAAAAGAGCCTAGCGATTCTGAAGGAGAGATGAGAGGTGTTAAGAGGGAGAGGCGTCATAGCTGTCTGACATTTTTACGGAATATGATTTCTCTATCAAACAATAACACTTTGCGCCTTTCACTTCTTCAGCGTTTTCCACTTACTCCGTCAACTTTCCTACATACAAGTACGATAAAATTTAATTCAAGTTTCCTAATTTTATATGTGTAGTATTATATTACATGTTGCGCATATGTTAATAGTGTGTGTATGTTATATTTAATGAATTCCGTCAGTTTTGCATTAATAACTTGCATTCAAAGTATTCTTTTTTTGAGCAATCATTTGGGATATGGGAACAGATGAATTCATTTTACACTAATTCATATGAGAAAAACTGTTTCGGTTTACGAATATTTCGGGTGACGAACTACGCTCAGGAGCGAATTATGTTCGTGAGCCAAGGTTTCACAGTATAAATGTTTTCCTTTAAGGCTTAACACCAATAAAGATTACGAAAATTGTATATTAGAATAATGTAGTATCTCTTATATTAACATCTTTCTCTTTTTAGTAGTTTTATGTAAATAATTATGGAAATCATTTACAACAAAGATATATGCATTAAGCTACTACTATGCATTATCTCTTATTGATTAAAGTCTGTTTCTACAGTGTACGATTAATAAGTTTGTATTTCTTTCCAGGTTCTAAACTTAGACCGAAGATTCTTCAATATGTTCCTGTACCCATAATCAACAATAAAATGTGCGAAGGATGGCACAGGAGACGTGGGATAAATATTGTTATTTATGACGAAATGGTGTGCGCAGGATATGAATTCGGAGGCCGCGATTCTTGCCAAGTAACGTATTTTTCTAATCTACAAATAAGCATATCCTTTTCTTTTTAATTTAAGGTCATGTGAAACTCTATTTTATGTTATGTTAAATGCGAAGAGTGCTCTAACGTAAAATGTGAATAAAGTTTTAAGGAAATACTTGCTCGAGATTCTTATTCAAACACACTAGTTTCACGTATTCTATGTAAAATTATAATCTTATGCGTACGGGAAGAAAATGAAAAAGAATGGAGCATAAACCAAAATTAATGTGTTTATTTCCCTGTGGTTTATATAGCTAGAAAGAATTACACAAAAATTTTAGTACACCTCCACATGAGCGTCATTTATACGGTGAAGTCATGAAGTAAATCAGACTTGCATTATTTATTTGAAAATAGCTATTAGTATTTTTCATGTATGCCGACAGGTAAACCGTGTGAGCTCATATTATTCATTTTGTTAACTAAGTATCAGTTTCACATACAGAGTTCACTTTGAAAATGCCAATAGGAACGCGATGAATCGACAAGAGAAAAGCAGCATACTGTAATCCTTTTTCGGTTGTTTTTTTTTCTTTGGAAGCGAGGTAAAAGAACTTCGTGCGAAACATATTCATAAATGAATATTTCCTGTTTATGGAAAAAAAGGATTTGTCGATTAAAGCCGTGCACGAAGTGGGTCGAGAAATTTTTTCAAGGCAGCTCCAAGGTTTGCGATGAAAACCCAAGTGCGCGCCAGATTTAGATTGAGGCAGACTTAACAGCGTTGAGGGTGGAGGGCTGATTCAAAAAAATGGACTGTACGCTATAACAGCAGCAGTGCCTGTTTGGTTCACTAAAGAAACCATCTTAGAGGCAAAAACTTAGCACATGATGATGTTCAAGAAAGACCGAATATGTCTGAGACAGCAATCCAGAGAATTTTATGCAGCTAGCATTGGAGTATTAATAAAACAGTGGAACGGTTGTGTAAATAATTATAAGCATTATTATGAGAAATATAGTTTCCAAATGAGTATCTCATTAGATTGTTTCGCAGTTGCCTCTTGTGACTTACTTATTGACTTTCCTTTGTAGCTCGGTCTACGTCTAGGCATACTAGGCACGATATCTGATTCCACATGTTCGAAAGCATCACTGGTATAAGCAGTTCTGTTTTTCTATCGCCTCCATTATTCGGGCACGCAGAATCTGCTACACCAGCACATAAGCGTTCAATGCACTCTTTGTGTCTCAAACCCCCATAAAAAGAAATCTGAAGGGTTTAGGACCTACAGGAATCAACTCCGCTGAGCACCAATCCTCCTGGTGAATAAAATTTTTCAAATTCTTTCGAGTTATGTAAGCCACAATACAATAAGCAAGGCATATGACTTTCGAAATAAATCAACTTGCATTTGGATTGGATTATTTAGATTCGAGTAAAGCATATTACTTTAAAAATAAATATAAATTAACTTACAGCCGAATTTTGTTATTTAGCTTATAGTCAAGCACGTGACTGAACGTAATTGGCTATAATCTAAATGACGTGTGAAAATAAATCTAATTAAGCACGTAAGAAAATAAACCTAATCAACTTTCAGTAGGATTCGATTGTTTAGATTATGGCAAAGCAAGCAAAGGCTATTTACCTAAGAGTGTTTTTCTGAGGATATTTTAGGATTTTTTTTTCATTTTATTCAGCATGAAATTACTGCCGTCGTTGAAAATGCTGTATAATGCAAAAACGGGTGAAACTAAAATGCTCATTTATTTATATATTGTGGTCATTTCCACCCAGGGCTGTATATGCTGGCTTAGTAATATTATATGCATTTTCTTAATCTCTGCTCATGGGTATAAAATACATGGATTCGGTTCATTCTATTTGAAAGGGCAGTCTATGCTATCCCGGAAGATAGTAGCATATGCCATCCAAGCGGTTAACAGGATGGCCAGATGAAAGGTTTCAACATGCTTCCCCACACTTCATGGTATCCGTGTCCCCGCGTCTAGTGACCTTTGAGAACCTGTGTAGCGAAGTGGTGCTTTAGAGAGAGCTCAAGCCCACCGTCTTGTGGATTGGAGAACCCGGGGCCTTACGGCAAGAATCTTCTCTGGGTCGCTTTTGATACATACACCCCTTCCGCCTAATACAGATTTAAAGGGGTGAGCAAGTGTAGTGCCTTTAATTGGGAAGAACAAGTAAAGCATTATAATTATATATGGTGGTCAAGATCACCCGTACAACAAACATAGTACAACTGATGATACCTAGTGGAAAATTAGTTCTAAGTGTTTACCATTCTTCGACTGAGTATCATGTTTGAGAGATACTCGAGGGGTCGAAAATATTGTTGTGTCACCAACGTTAATGCAAAATTTTCGGTGAAGAATCAGGTTCATAGTTATTTCCAGGGATTTACACAAAGGGAGTTGTAGTATGAGACACAGAGTAACTATGAAAATTCTGAATGAATCTGCTCAGATAAAATTTTAAAAAAACTAGAGAAGGATTTAGTAAATACGCCTTAATGATTAAGTACTTTATTTTAGCGGGCATACCATTCAAGAAATAAATGCAGTTTTATTGTTTAGTTCTTTCATTTTTTATTTGTTGTGAAATGCTCTATTATTTGTAAATTATAAAACTGGAGAAAGCCAAGCGATAAATTTATTATAAAAATGTATTATATTTTTAATTTAAAAGTAAACATTTATTTAATTAAAAAAAATTATGAATTATTTTCTTTTCTACGGAAGGTAACAGAATTGATTGAAACACAGTATCAACGAAAAACATGGAAATCGAAAAGTAATTTTAATTACCGATACTTACAAACAATAGTGATTGGTATTTAAAAAAATTGTTAGAATGAAAGGCCAGCATCTGCAATACATGCACTCTAAGAGGACTCCAAACACTCCGTCGTTATTGTGGTGCATTTGTTACAGCTTGTGGTAACACATTTGAACACTTCTTGTAAATATCAAACATTATTTCATATAAACATCTGCGATTAAAACGGCTTTTCCTTCTCCATGTTCTTGGTACTAACTGTGTTTCAGTACTCATATTTCACGAGACAATGCATTACCAAAACTGTTACTTTCGCCGTTTGAGAGTTTGATATGAGTTTGTTCCTCATTAGTGCTTGTGGCAGTATCTAATGTACTATCATAAAATAATACTGAAGGGAATATCTAATTTGATTTTTTTTTCTTTCTTCCAGGGGGATTCAGGTGGTCCTCTAATGATAAACCACTTCGGTATTTGGTATTTGGTTGGTATAGTATCAGCAGGTTACTCCTGTGCCAAACAGTTCCAACCAGGAATCTATCATAGAGTCAGCAGTACATCTGACTGGATTTCTACAAATTTGTATTGAAGGGAAGAAAATCTGGTGACTTGTCTTTTATACATAAAGCAATAATGAAGTTTTGAAAATTCCATAAATCATAAGAAATACCCTTAAGCGAACTTTATTGCAGGCAATAATAAACGTTGCTTTGATGTATGTCAGCATATCAAAAGAAAGGTAAAGAAACTGCAAAATGAATCGCCAATCATTAATCACATTACACAGTGTAAAAAAACAACTTTGGATAATCATGTACTTTTTATTGTATCTTCATGAATAATTGTATAACATTGTCAGAACATAGCTGAAAATATTATGGATGTGATTTCAAGTATGGTAATCAACAAATAGTCATGTGTAAATGTCATACTTGAGCCATTTTCTTTTTTTGCCATTAAAGATATACAATTCTGCAATCTTGTACTTCATTTATAAACTCGTTAGCAACTCTTGCGTATGTGAGCACATAATTTATTTTATAATGGACTGGCTCGTTTTATTTTATAAAGCTAGCAACAAAATATGAAAGAATAAAAACTAACGACTATTATGAAAAACATTTCTTTGCACAGATACACGAGTTCGTGCAGAAGCATAGCTGGAATTTAATTTCCCAGAGTGCCATTTATCAATGAGCACTGATAAGCAATATATTTAATTTGAAAGATGAACTGAGGACTTAAATATTATGATCTATCTTATTCTTCTATATGATCTTATCTTGAAGAAGAAAGTCCTCTTATCTGTCTCCATTGTCCAAGCTGACAGTCAAAACTGAAAATAACCTAAGGTTGATTTTTGCTTAAGTTTTGTTTGATGATAGACTGAATCTGTTTCATATATTTCGACCAAATAAGAACTGCTTCATGTTTACTCAAACTACTTTGTTCTAGATTCTCTGTCTCGCATATTTTTAATTTCTAGGATTTTATGATAATTAATGAGCTAAAATAAAGTTTTAAATCATAATTAACTAGTTATTATGATTTAAAACTGTACTTTAGCTTCTTCCTTACGTAGTCCTCACCATAATTCAAAATAGTAGTTGTGTATTTAAGCCGAAGGCTTGAATGTTTTGGAGTGAGAGCTCCTCTCGGTCTCGCATTGCAGCTGCGTACCGTCGTCAGCTCTGCCAAAGTTTTATTCCGGCTTTAGCCATCTTGCTAACCGACGTTTAAATACCCGCCACTAATTATTTGAGCAAGCTGTACTCTATTTTGTAAATAATCTCAGACCACGTTATTTGAATGTGAATTTAACTTCATCTTATGTTGTTTTAAATACCTGCAATTATCAATTATCAAAGGTTCGTCTGTAGCACAAGTAGCACCTTCTGTTAATTTAAAGAGCTCATTAAAAATATTATTTTAATCTTTTAAAAACTTTGTCATCTGAATTCAAGCTGGAGCAATAACTACCCGCTTGTCGGTCTAGTAAGGTCTGAAGAACATTTAAACTTCTATATAAGCAGTACCCTTCAAATTTACATATAAAAACAAGGAATTGGGCAGTAATATTCTGCTGTTTAAATGAAATAAAAAAAAACTAGAAGTTCGCTTAAAAATATACTTTAATATAAATATTTTTAAAAAAATTCGTACATAATACTTTTCATTTATAAACAAACTAAAACAATAACCTGTTAATAAAATACGATGACATGATAAGAATATACATAAATATGAATTTATCAGTAATACCAGTTGTTTACATTTTGCATATTTTTACAAGCGTTTTGTTTTATAAACATATACTTTGTCAAACACACATACATGTTCAGCAATCATGCTTCTCAGTTCTGATTAATATATACAAATGTTAATGCACAGCGGAGTATTAAAAAAGTAGTGTTAGAAGTTTAAGTGTTTTTTTTTATCTATTATTGTTTGATGGTTCTAAATATTATATTTAGTTTATTTGTTTGATATATCTTAGCTTTACATAATTAATAAAATCAAATAAAAGAACAGATATGCTTTTAACAGATCTTCTGTAATATAATATGAAACTTTGGTAGTATGTGCTTGATAGTAACCATGTGCATATTTAGGAGTCCCAATTCTCATTCAGAAGCGCCGGATACAATACCATTCTTCTTCGAAACGATCTCGTTGAGATAAACAACAGCAAAGACCAAATTACTGAAAGGACTGAAAATACTACAACTGGGTAGAATGTGGTACCCTGAAAAGTAAAACCTGAAAAATCGGAAAAAAGAAATCTTTGAATTTATTTCAAGTATCACACAAGACATTCATGCAATACCAAATATTGATTTAAAGTAAGTTCAAAAAATTAATTTCATACTAATAGCTAAAATTATTAAGAAATAAATTAAATTAGTGTATTGAACTGCCGTTTATCTGTTATGATACACTATTATGGAAACCTTAAAATGTGTATCACACGAAAACCGTTTGGAAAAAAAGAAGATTTGTTAAAGTAAAAATGACTCTTTAAATAAAAAAGACTATTTTTTTCGTAAATTTAGCGATTTGAAACTTTAAGAAAATTTATATTTTTAACGAGTTTAAAGTTTTCATTGAAGTTATACCTGAACTATATATGTAGTTGTTGAACCAGAAGTATGGTTACATGTTTGAAGTAATACATTTTTTACTCACTGTAGGGCTTAGAGAGAAATGGAAATGGTAAATGGAATATTAAACTGAAAACATTCTCTTTAAAAAAAACTTTCCATTTTAAATTCCAGTTACATACCGAACATTAGCCAAGATAGCGGTGAACATGCACTAGCAAGTTATAGTTGTAGCGCAGCCGTTAACTGCGTCAAATTGCAGACTGCTTTACATTGAAAGACATCCACTGTAAGGCAATTGACTTCCGCTGTAAAACAGTCGTTCTCTGTCCTTTCACGTAGAAATGAAAACAGGAATACTTTCGAAAGATTTCAGAAAAGAAACCTCCTGCAATAAGGCCGATGAAGTAAATATTATGGCAGCGTTCGTTATTGAAATTTAGCAAAGCAGAATGGTTATTTGCCTGAGAGAAGAGATGCCTTCATAGAAGACTTTATAAGGAAGACCGACTTTTATTCATGTTACAAATGGGGAAAATGATAAAAACCAATCATGCAGCCAACTCATCTGCATGGGTTCGAACCTAGGTCGAAATACCAGTATTCAGTGGTTTGAACCATTCGGGTACTGGTGAGACTATGGCAGCGTTAGAAACGACAAGCACTTTCAGGCACTAAAGGTGAGTCTACTTTGTATTGTTCTTCTTTTGTGTGTTGTTCTTCAGTTTGACGATTTGACTGTCCAATGGTCCTTTTTTTTTACTTCAAGAACACCATTATATCATTACGACACTATTGAATGATTAGCTATCTTTTTGGCTCGCCCCTATACATAATATCCTGATGCCCTTAAACTACGCAAATTTGTTTGGGTATGTACAGTGGGTACAAAAAGTATTTGCACACATACATTTTTGTTCACAATTTATAAGAAAATGCATCAATAAATACAAAAATTGGCATTTAAAAAATAGAATAAGCCTATTCATTTAAATTAATTACAAAAAATACAATAATATTAATAAAAAATACTTTTTTGCAACAATATTAAAATAGCTTATGTCAAAAAAGTATTTGCACACTCAACTCAACTCTAAGCAAATTTGCATTTTTATGCTATTATTTGACAGTCATCCCGCATCAGTAAATAATATATGTAAGACGACTATAAAAAGGAGGTGTTGTCGAAACGTTATCAGTTGATTGCCGATTCAAATTGTAATGGCACCTAAGAAATCTGAATTGTCGATTTCATTGCGAGAAAAAAGTTTTTTTTCTCTACGTGAAAATTGGCCTAAGTTATCAAGAAATAGGTATAAAAAAAGTAAATGTTTGCTTCTCTACTATTTGGTATGTTATAAAGAAAGAGGATCTACATCAAATAACTTGCGCTCTGGACGCCCAAAAAGAAACTTTCACTGCGAAATGAAGCGAAAAATCATAAGAGAAAGCATAAAAAAATCCATTTGTTAGTGCAATTACTTTAGCCAATGATGTCGCTTCAACATCTGGAGTTCAACTCTGTGCCCAAAGTGTTCGAAATGTCCTGCCACGATGCACACATTTATGGGAGATCACCAAGGAAAAAAACCTCTCCTAACGAACGAAAGACTGAAGAGACTTGAATTCGCTAAGGAATATCAATAAGCCAATCGATTTCTGGAAAAATGTCATATTATCCGACGAGAGTGAGTTCAATATCTTTAAATCAGATGGCAGAAAATTAGTTTGGAAAAACCTTGTGTGCTTTTCATACCAAAAATGTGTTACCTACAGTTACACATGGAGGAGGTTCTGTTATGATTTGGGGGTGCATGGTTAGCAAAGGAGTTGGTAATTTGTGTTTTATTGATGGGAATATGACAGCTCGAACCTATATTGATGTGTTGCGAGATAACTTGCCACAAAGTGCAATAAAATTGGGTATCAGTAATTCGTACTATTTTCAGCAAGACAATGAATCCCAAGCACACTGCCGGTATAACACGTATGTGGTTGCTTTATAATGGACCCAGAAAACTTGCCACTCCACCACAATCACCAGACTTAAATCCTTTGGAAAATTTGTGGAGAAAGGAAGAAAAAGGAAGATTTCAAGCAAATCTGCGCTTAATCAGCCCTTATTGAAGAGTGGTCGAATACTGACCCTACTGTTACAGAAAATTTAATTAAATCAATGCCAGCAAGATTAGAAGCAGTAATAGATGCTAAAGGAATGCATACTAAATATTAGTTATTTGAAATTTTATTATATATTTTATTTCTTTTGTATTCATGCAGGTGTGCAAATACTTTTTTGATACGAGATATTTTAATTTTGTTACAAAAAAGCCGATACGAGATATTTTAATTTTGTTACAAATTATATTATTGTAATTTTTCTGTTTGTTTTAGGATGATTAAACTTATTCTGATTTGGCAATACCAATTTTTTTATTTCTTAATGCTTCTTTTTATGAATTGCAAACAAAAATGTAGGTGTGCAAATACTTTTTTTACCCACTGTATATCTTTTAGCAAAATTCCTGATTCATCTCATGTAAATGTATATTCTCATGTAAATATATATTTTGCTAGGACCCATTTAAATTATCCCACCATTTCCAAACACAGTTTTTTAGCAGAACTTAATGTTAAAAAACCTCGCTAGAAATTCAGTTCTTTTTACAGATTTAAATATTAGCATTATTTTAAAAGTTAATAAGTAGGAATCTTGCGAAATAAAATGGATATGTATCAACTCAGACGGGAGCTTGTCACATGCGATTGTTGTTGGGGGGGGGGGGGGGGGTGGGGGGGGGGGGGGGGGGGGGGGGTTGGGGGGGGGGGGGGGGGGTGGGTTTAAAATAAAGGATTCCGTTATCTTTTTCTTCGTTATCGTCATATCGGGGGGGGGGGGGGGGGGGGGGGGGTGGGGGGGGGGGTTTGGGGGGGGGGGGGGGGGGGGGGGGGGGTGTGGGGGGGGGTGGGGGGGGGGGGGGGGGGGGGGGGGGGGGGGGGGGGGGGGGGGGGGGGGGGGGGGGGGGGGGGGGGGGGGTGGTGGGGGGGGGGTGGGGGGGGGTGGGGGTGGTTGGGGGGGGGGGGGGGGGGGGGGGGGGGGGGGGGGGGTGGGGGGGGGGGGGGGGGGGGGGGCGGGGGGGGGTTGGGGGTGGGGGGGGGGGTGGGGGGTGGGGGGGGGGGGGGGGGGTCGAAAAAATAAAGGATTCCGTTATCTTTTTCTTCGTTATCGTCATATAAAAAATTAAATTTTTATTACTGGTTAAAGCTATTGTAACATTATTACAAAAACGTGTCAGCTAATCAATATGATGAATCACTTATTAAAATACCCAGAAAATCCGCAACTAAAAACAAATATTCAAAAAGTAACTATCAAAGAATTCTGAAATGGAAAAGTCATTAGCAATTAATTCAAAACCGAGCTGGATCAATTTACTGGGTATTTGAGCCTTCTTTTTGAGATAATTTCTAAGAAAGGGCTCAACTGGCTTGAAAATCGATACTAGGACGTAAATTTACTGCATGAAATATCTGCATTACAAGTTGTAAAATCTGCAGTGAAAATAATTGATTCCGATTATGTTAATTTATTTACAGCAGGTTTTACGTTACAACTTATGCTAGAAGAACTGTTAGAGCAAAATGATAAGATAAATTAGATATTAAAAGTAAAAAAAGTGAAAGGAATAAAAAAGGCAACCTAATTATTCAGACTTGCTACTAGTTTTTCATAACTGAGAAAAAATCTTTAAAAATAAAGAATATATCTTATTTATTATAATAACAAGACTACTTTAATCATTTAATTAGAGAAATAATTGAGAGAGGCACAAAACAAATGAAATTCAACAACAGAAAATTGAAACGCCTTCATCAAGGCTGTAATGACAAAGATATTGTCACTAGCTCATAAGAGAAATTTCAATGAATGTGCTTAATTGAAGAACATCTTCCTGAAGTAGTTTTTTAGTGTGGTTCGTTTGACTATAGCAAAGCATTCCAGAGCTATCTGTCTAAGAATAAGGGTGCCTTCATGGAGGACTTTCTAAGGGAAACTGGCTCGTATCCCCGTTATAGTACATGGGGAAAAACAGGAAAACGACCATGCAGCCAGTCCGTTCACCTAAGAGTTAAACTCAAGCCAATCTTCCAACGTTCAGCGACTTTACGGCTCGGCCGCTGGTGGGCTTCTTCCCACATTTCTCTTCGCGTTCGAGCAAAATTAATACCCAAGTTGCAGTTTATTCCAAAAGAGGTGCGAAACTATATAAAAGCATTTCATATTAAGAACATAAGTGGACTTGTTTATAATACTTTGATGAAAAATTGCTTTTCTTCACCTAAAGCACTTTCTATTGCAAGTTTATTTTTTATCGAAATTTAGTCCAGATTAGACGAAGTAACATTAAATAATTTTCAGACGTAAATTAATGTCCCAAAATTCTTCAGATATAGTTTATTGAGCAAAAAAATTCAAAACTAAATAAAATACAGTTTAAGACACAATAACACGCCGAATAAATACTAATTCAGAAGTCAAACAACAAAAATCAGCGTTATATTTTCACAGTCCTGTGAAAATTTTGAAAATATAACGCAGATTTTTGTTGTTTGACTTCTGAATTTTGTAAAATATAGTTTGTTTACTTATATGAAATTTAACCAAATGTAAAGAGTTGAAAATGACATAAAATGGGCAATTTTTACTTTTTTATCTGATATTAAATTTAAATAGCTCTAAGCTGCCAAATAATAATAATAATTTTTTATCAATTTTCTAAGGACCGTATTCCCAGTGCCTATTTGTCATTTAGCTATTGTTTCTCTAAAAACTGTATTAAAGGAAAATTTTATCTTATTTTTATTACAGTGGTTTTTCTTCAAAAATATTCTTTTATTATCGGTATTTATCGATAAAAAGGAATTAACAGTGAGGAATTATCGCTAAATACTAGTATTAATATACTAGTAATAATATAAATTTTTATACCGGTAAATACAGATATGATAAATTTATCGGTGAATTTCAATAGATTTATTACCGGTAGATACTGATAATAGAAACTAATTATTTATTAATGGCAGTAATCGTTAATTTCACAGCCTTCAGTTAACACTCATGCATGTAGGCTGCCTTACAGTTCTGAAGTTTTGTTTCCCTTTCTTTTTATTTTTTTTCTTTTCTTTTTTTAAAGTTTTAAAGTTTCCTGTAAATTCAGTTCTTACTCATGTGAATGCTACTATCACTTTTCTGCCGCCAGATTAGCATAAATGAGATTTTCAATACGTCAGTGTTAGCACTTGAAATACATGGATGAACATATACACCTTTTGGAATTAACCGGTTCCAAGACTAGGTACGTCTTCTCACTTGGTATGTAACCCTCCTGCTCCTATTTACCCAGACTTGTCCCTACAAGATGACCCCCATGACGACCATCGCCAGCCTGGACCGGGTACCCACTAACCAGTACTGCTTTGTGAATGTGGTGCTAAGTGAACCACCAAGATCTACTCAAGACCCACATGATGGGAAGCCCGTTAGCCGCTCCCTGTACTACGCCATGCGTGTATAAACATGTACTGTCAGATTAGTTCTTTCAAGCCTGACTAACAATTTAAAATATCGTCACAAATTATGAAAATTACTACGCGAAGTGACCACAGTTTTTATTCGGCTCAACTTAGAAGGTAATTGTGATACACTGTGATTTTAGTTGGGAGCTACATGTTACAGGTGTTGTTTACTAGTGAATTATAAATTGCAGACTGAAGTAAATTAGCTTAGTGAGCCCCCGAAATATTTTAGTAATAAGAACCCAAGAAGAAAGAAACAGCCGCCTTATGGGCGCGATGATGGTGGTTGGTTTGTTTAATCAGCTGTGTAAAACACCCTGAAATTATAAAATAGCATTCTCTTTGACACCCAGTGAAGAACCATATATACAAAATATATATAAATATACGAACAAACATATGTAGCGTATACGAACAAGTGGAGATAGTTCAAATCCTAATATATTGTTCGAAGCACAAAGCATCATACTGCTGTTATAAATCTTTGTTGCATCTCAGCATAGAGAGTGGGTAGACTATATTACACAGAATAATTGATTCCCAATTAAATCTGTACTTTAAAGGAAAATACTATTCTATGGTTATTTTTGGGAAGAATGATTTCATATTTTCCGTGACAATAATGCGTTTTTTCGTCTGGCCTGCGTAATAAGCAGTTTCTTACTTCTAAATAAGTATGGGAATTGCAAAAGGCAGCGCAATCGCCAGATTCAGTATTGCGAATTTTTTGGTAAACTGAAACAGAAAATGAATTGAAGTATCCTTAATTCTGGCTCTAAATTAGTACTAGTGTCACCTAGTTTCAGATAGGAGCTTGTGTATATTATGTCCAAAAGATGTGCCTTTAATAATTAAAATTAAATGCTTTTCAATTCAGTATGAATTACCAGCATGTCTTAAAACATATGTAACAATCAATAAGTATGCATTAACTTAATTTATTTTTAATTTTAGTTTTATCCCTGATTTAAACAAATGAAGCTCATCAAGAAATAAATAAAATTTTAATTTTTGTCCCTTCCATCTTCTTATGCACAATAGGTTGAAATATTAAAATTTTTAGAGCTGTAAATTTTACTGAAAAATTCCTTGCGAAATTATACCCTATTTATCATACTGCAACTCGCACTGCATTTTAATATTATTTCAAATGTTTCAAATGCCATGCTTACAGTAAATGCTGCAGAATATGCTGCTGCATACCAAGCCTAGATAAATTCCTTACTACTCATCATTCCCTTTTACTGCAAGAATCTGTTGAATCTTTGAAGATTATTTTATCAAAATCAAAACATTTATTTTGTACTAACCTATTACTACACACTAAAGTTGGTATTTAACAATGGAAGACTTTTTCATTTCATACACATATAATAAAACACACCTCAGTAAATTTACTCTACAATGAAATTTATTGGCACTAACGTGTACATTAAAAAGTTCAGTCACATCAATAAGAAATTTTTGAATTCATAACAATAGCTTCTGCATAAAAACCAATAAAAATTATAAAAAAATCAATTACCCTCTTTAGCATCGACTGCAAGAAAAATATATGTAACTACTGCAGCTAATGAAACAAGGCAAGCTCCCTGCCCTAGAACTATTATATCCCTTAGTTCTTCTGGACCATACCATTCTTCTAGGGTTCGTTTCAATTTCAGCATGTGAACATGTAAAGTTGCGGCTGCGAAAACAGCTGAAATTGAATTTGATTCGTTTTAAAATCAGAATGCAAGTAACATGAAGCAATTACACACACTGGCCAATGAATTAGAAACCTTTGGCATTTTCATCTGAATGCGTGCTAAGGATAAAGTATGCAACTTTTTTATGACGAGGGTTGCACGTGGTTAGAATGCTAGTATAAGTAAGGTGTAAGAGTGCTTTTCACGATGAATGAAGTAAAATGGGAAAAAACGACAGATCTTTCACCATTTGAAAAGAACTTATTGTTGGTGCCCGTTTAGCAGAAGCCTCGATTTCGAAGACAATAAATTTCACTTGATTCTCAAAAGTAGCTATATCAAAGGTTTTTAGTTGCAATCAAAACCCACAGTCCTCTACACTGACTACCAATAAGTATTTGGACACCTGCGATAGAAAAGAAAAACTAACTTTATTCAAAATCAATAGTTGGTAGAGCCTCCACGAGAGGTAATTACAGCGTGGACCCTCCGGGGCATACTTTCCACAAGTCTTTGTATGACAGCTAGTGGTATTTCTTCCACTCGGCTTGGAGAAAACATAGAAGTTCCTTCACCGATTTTGCACGGGTAGTGCACCCCTGAATTCGGCGATGCAACTCGTCCCAGAGGTTCTCGATAGGGTTCAGGTCTGGACTCTGGGCAGGCCAGTCCATTCGATGAACTCCATTGGCACCATACCAAGCCTTGGTTAACGGCGAAACATGACAACTGGCATTGTCGTCCTGAAAGAAACAGGGGTCCAACCCGTAAAACTGCCACAACGTAGGAAGCACATTGTCATCCAAAATAGTGCAGTAGGCATCGGAGTGGAGCTTACCATGAATGGGGACCAAGGGTCCCAGCCCACACCAGGAGAAACACCCCCAGACCATAATTCCACCTCCGCCGAACATGACTGTTGGCACAATGCATTCTGGCAGGAGACGTTCTCCAGGTTGACGCCAGACCCAGACCCTGTCATCCAAACGGTAAAGGGTGAACCTTGATTCGTCACTCCAAAGAATCCGTTTCCACTGACTACGGTCCAATTTCGATGTGCTTTGCACCACATTAACCGAGCAGCGTGGTTGGACTTTGTGATCAAAGGCTTATGGGCAGCAGCACGACCATGAAAACCAAGCAGATGTGTTTCCTTACTGATGGTATTCATTGAAACAATACTCCCGGATGCCTGTTGAAACTCCTCGTGGATGAGGGCCATCTGTTGGGTGCGGTTCTTCCGAATTTCTCTGGACAGCACTCGTCGGTCTCTATCTCCCAGTTTCGCTGGTCTGCCGACTCGGGGCACATTCCGACAATCACCGCTCACCTTCCACTTCTTAAACACATAGGCCACTGTCGATTTTGGGTACTTCAATCGCTAGATATGTGATACTCTATAATTATACCTTTCTCGAAATCAGAGAGCTCCGAACTGGGAGGCATCTTGCATGCGACTAAAGCCGATGCTGTTTCCTACACGATATATACCGGCGGAGTCCGTGAAATACCTTAGGACCGCTGATATCGTCATTTGCATAGGTGTCCAAATACTTATTGGTAGTCAGTGTAGAAAGCATAACTGCGGTTCGAGCACAGGTTTTCAAGAGAATGATGAGCGTCGGCTCTGGCACATTGTACGGCAGAACTGGAACTCTACTGTGCTTCAAACTGACACAGATCGTCAACCAAGGTTCTTTCCAACACATTTCAGTTCGAACCATGCGCAAAGAATTTAAGAGGATAAGAATGCATAGTTGAGTGCCTGTGAGAGAAACCACTCCTTTCTGCCAGACACGCAAGAATTAGTTTGCAGTGGTGTCGGGAAAAAAGATACTGGACATCTGAGGCTTGGAAATGGATAATGTGGTCCGATGAATCACATTACACCTTATTTCCCACTGATGGAAGACGTCGAATTTGGCGAGAATCTCATGAAGCCATGAAGCCATCTTGCGTTACTCGCACTGTACAAGGGTCTGGTGGGAGTATCATGATATGCGGCATGTTCTGCTAGCATGGAAGTGGTTCCCTGGAGTTCTTTGAGGGTAAACAAACGGCCATGAGATACCTAGATATACTTGCAGACCAAGTGCACCTGCAATGTTGCATTTCTACCCTGATGGCTGCGAATACTTCATGGACGATAATGCTATAAGGTATTTCTCCCGCACTTCCTAGCGTGCCTTCGTGGTGTAGTGGTTCTGCACGCTGGTCTGGTATTCCAGAGATCTGTGGTTCGATTCCAGTTTGCTAATTTTTCATCTCTCTTGCTTCATAAAAATACCTGATGTGTCTACAGAGGCGCCCGAACTAAAAGGGTGTTGGATGATGATTCTTCTCACCCAGGATTTGACGATTGTGTCCCCTAAAAAAAAACCCCAGTCGCCCTTTATAAGGGGGTTTATATAAGGGGTTTCTCCCGCCTTCCTAGTGTGCCTTCGTGGTGTAGTGGTTCTGCACGCTGGGCCGGTATTCCAGAGGTCCGTGTTTCGATTCCCGGCAAAGGCGTTTGCTAATTTTTAATCTTGCTTGCTTCCAAAAATACCTAATGTCTCTACAATGCAACTATGGAGCGTACCAGAAGTGTTCAAAATTGTTTCGCTGAACACCAGTCTGACTTCCAACATTTTCCCTGGCCACCGCATAGCCCGGACCTTAACCCCATAGAAAACGCGTGGGATATGGTGCAAAGACGCATTCGACAGCACTCTCCTCTTCCATCTAATTTACAAGATCTAAAAGGTTGCATAGCCGATGTATGGTATTCTCTGGACGTAAATGCACTCCAGAAGCATATAGACTCGATGCTCAAACGAATCAGAACAGTTATCCGTATAAAAAGTGCTCCAGTAAAATATTGATCTTGGGTTTCTAATTCATTGGCCCGTGTGTGTACAAAGAAAGAAAAAATGTGTGATTTTCGATATCATATAGTACTTTCCTTAAGTTCACTCTTTATTAAGTGCTTCTTAATGGCGTGTTACTAAATCAACTACCGTTTATGAAGCATAATTCTTTAAAATTTGCCAAAATCTTAGGAAAATAATCTTATATTTATTAAAACCAGTGAGAAAGTATTATAAATCCCTATTTGTAAATGCCCAGGCTAATTTCTTAGTATGAAGAAATATTCATAAGCTAAGCTCTCAAAATGTGTACATCATTGAATTAATCTGATAGTTGATGTAATATCTTAAATAATTATGCAGTAATATGCAAATCTTATCTGTTCAATGCAATAATTAAGATTAAAGTGTGTAAAGAATTTATGTATAAAAGACAAATTTATTAGAAAATATATATACATATACAAAGTGATTCAGAAATATCTAATAAAAATGTAAAGGCAGGTAGAAGGGACCGAAATAAGCAGGTTTAGCAATGGAATATGTTTTGGGAAAAGAAGCGTTGAGATAATACACAGCCCTGAGCAGTTAAAGAAAGCGTTCTTCTGGCTTAAATCATGATCCCCCACGCGATTTTCGAGCGGTGTGCGTCACTACTCGAACGTGGAGCACGCTGATATGATCGCTGATATACATGAAGCTGCGGACGGAAATGGAGCTTCAGCTCAAAGGATATATTCGGATATCGTTCTTCCATTCTGGCAGGATTTTGTCAAGCCCACAAACATTTTCCTGTTAGAAATACGTTTTCATATTAGTTAACATATTTCACGTTTCACGCCAGAAAACGGGTTTCCAAGTCAGAGAGTAGGATACATGTTTTCCGCAGATTCTTATGCATCTTTATAATTTTCGACTGAAGTGTTCTAACGATGAAAGTAAGTTCATGAGATATCAGTTCAAAAACTTTGCTACTTTCCTAATGACAAAATGAAAATGCTATAACTTGTATACCAAACGCAGAGCAGCAAAAGGAGAATTTTTAAATTGCAAAATTTTAGAAAGTTTTCAATTTGATATCAAAATATGCGATACTGTCTCATAGCACGTCTACAGAGGATAATAAAATGTATAATGTCAGTAGAAGTAATAACGATACAAGCATCTTATTCGTTATCGGAAAATGGAAAAGTCAGAAATTTTCCAGAAATCTATTAGAGTGTATTCTCGATTATCCGGATGCGGATTATCTGGTTTGTGGATTACCCGTACTTGACGGTGCCCACGTACGTACACGTGTGCGAGAGAATACAAAAACCAACACACGCAAAGCTGAGCATGCTATGAACACCGCTGAACTGGGTCTTTAGGTTTAGTTTCAAAGATTATTTTGAAGGTTTTGTTCTACATATGCATAGTCGAAGGCACTGTTTTAGTTGATCATTCAGTTTTTTCTTCTGACGTATATTTGCGCATATTTTCTTCTTAGTTTTTTAAAAATTGATTTAAAATTTGAAACTAAATAACGAATAAAGAACACTCTGCAAGTACTGAGCGTTTCGAATGTCACAGAACAGGCAGAGAGTGATCATGAAATTAGAAGCGAAGTACACTGGTTATCATAAATTAAGGAAAAACACAAAAATAGCGATAACTCCCTCAAAAATGAGCCAAACAGTGTAAAATTTGAATATGTTGCCAAGTTAAGAGTGGCTGAGTAAAACTGCGATATGCAAATTAGTGGCGCTGCTTCGGAATAAGTCATCTGAGAGGAGCATAAAAGTCCATGTTTCAGAGCAAGCCCACATATTTCACTCTGACAGTGACATCAGATATCTGAGATAGCCAACTCGTAACAATGACCTATAGGCATCATTTGCCTTCAGAACTGCGATGGAGAACATTTGGGAGAATACAGGCAGGACAAAGTCAAACAGAAGTGGCCAGATGGATAAATGTGAGTCCTTCTGTGGTTCATAGACTTTGGAGGCAATTTCAAACCACAGATTCGGCATCTAGGAGGTTCAGCCAAAGACGGCCAACTGCTATGACGAGCGCCGATGACCGATATTTGACATTATGTGCACGCAGGAATAGAACCGCTACTCCGACTCTTCTTAGATCCTCCCTTGCTGCAGCCACCAGAAGGTTCGTGTCAATGC